AAAACAAAAAAGTGTTGTGGGGCTGGCCATTTGGCTTATTGGCTCTGCCACCTGCAAGGGCCTGCATTCGATCTCCGGTACCAAAAAAATAGTAATAATAAAATTTAAAAAAATAAAAGTGTTGTATATTTAAATATAAGACACTACTTTTACTTTAAAATAGAATTTTTGTACAAAAATTTCATTTCTGGTTGCATATGTAATGTGATGTTATTGGCCTATGTCCAACCCTCTACCTCTGTCTGGATATCCAGAAGCTTCCACAACTGATTTCCTTTCATTCCTTCACTTGGGAAGCTAGTTTCCTGTGTTTGCCTAATGACTTTGCTTTCCTTCCAATTTCTTCCCTGTCTCATTCTTTCCTACCCTCAGGATGTTTTTGTGCATTTGTTTTCTGTCTCTCTACAGGCAGCCAGTTTTCAGATGGCATTAAGACCTGCTTTAATTTCTTTCCCCATTAGGCCATTAACTGAGTTTTCTTCGCTGATCCTTATCTGTGTATTCTTCAAATAATTTCCTCAGCTAACTTCACCTACAAGGTTCTTAGTTCGCAAAAGCCCACAATTCTTCCTTGAACTCTCACCTCCATGGTAAGAGGAACCCACTGCTCTAAAGGGTAGCTAATACGCTTTCCCATCATAATTTTGGGGTTAGAGGGGTCAGGAGTCTTGGTTTCTAATCATAGGTCTAAAACTATTAATCTGAAGTTGAAAGGCACTAACTCTTCCATTTCACACCTATAAAATGATAGTAGCAGTGTTGGGAGTGGCTAGCGATACTGTCATGGATAATTGAAAACTATTTTGTGAAGTCACTTTTTACCCTGTTAAAAGTTATTAGTAGAAGAAATGGCAAACATCTTTATTTTTTTTTAAATCTGTTAATTTTCGAAAGCTTGAAGTAAGTTATTAGATTCAGTATAAGATATCTTAGAAAGTATTCTATAGGTCATGGATAAAATATGGCCACTTCCTCATTTTTTGGAGGCTGTGTTGGGAGAGGATACAGTCACTCTGCCTGGAGAACAGTCCCCAAAGCCTTCGCATACTTTCCCTTTTTCTAGCCATCAAAGTAGAATTAGGAAGTAACTGGGATACTCATTCTTCCTTCTGACTCACGCATCACCAACCTAAAGTAATCTAATAACTCACTTTCTCTGCTTACATACCTATGCAGAAGTGTTCTTTTGGATAAAATTGTCTCATTATCACCAAGGGCCATAGTATCTAATCTCAGAATTACATCAGACCTTCTCAGTAATAGTAGTTAAAAAATGATCAGTATGGAGTACTCAGGATGTGCCAGGCACTTTGGTCCTGGAAGTACATTTAAGTCGTGCCTTCTACCATCCAAGGGACCATAATTATGTGACACTAATAAATTATGGGAAAGACTAAAGTAATACTTACAAAGACTGAGTCCTTCATGCAGGACTTCTAGGATTGCTCTACCAACCACTTCCCTTAGTGGCAATTCCAGATCTTTACTGTTCTCCGCAAGCATCTACCGCCAACTTTCCAAGCTCTCTGATCATTCTTGTTATATGTAGATGGAAGATAGAAACCTCTTTTTCTTACAGCTAACATGCACATATCCTTTTCTTATCCCTTGTTTCTCTGAATCCAGGGCTACCTTCAGCACTGTGACATTCCTCGATCTTGAAATCATATCTTTTCCGCTACTGTTCAATTCCTCATCCATACCCTTTCCAGCTGCCAGCATAACTGGCTAGAGTGCATACCCTGAGTTTAAATTCCACCCCCTCACTAGATTAATGATCCTAGGCAAGTTTCATTTAATTTTGCCTGTTATAGTATTCACACTTACATAAATGAATAAATCAATATCATAATTTTAATAGTTGTTATAGAATATTACTTCAAGAGCTCTGCACATTAAAAAACTATCAGATTTCCATTTTCATTCTGCTTTATGAATTGGCTCAGTTTTTCCTCCCTTAGAATATAATATGGAGGGCATTAAAATAAATTGAGCAACAATTGTAAGGACTTATTTCACTGTTGCAAGGAGGTAAAATGGGGCTGTTTCTATAGTAATATTTTGAGAACTGATATTCCTAATATATTTCAGACATTAAATGCAAAGTTCCAAGACACTTACATTTAGGTAGCTAGTACTTTTGTGAAAGGAACCTGGGCCCCTCCTTTTACAAGTTTAATAAAAAGACATCTGATCCTGTTGTATTGTAAGGATGGTAGGCTTGGTGTCCAGATGCCAGTAAGCCACACCCAGGGCCCTTGACTAGCTGCCCTTTGTAGGCTTCTTGGGCATTCTCAGTGGACTTCCCTTGTCACTGCCTGAGAGAGACCACCTCCTTTTTATAGACCCATAGTACATGTTGTATTTGCCAGCCTTCCTCAAAGTTGCTCTGTCCCCTCAAGGAATTTTGTTTACCTGCTTCTAGTAGCTATTATTAGTAAGTCTGTGTCTCTCGGCAATCAAAGGTTGGAATTAAACCTTTCTTCTTTGTAGACTTCCTAGGCTGCTAGTCGAGTTTGCAAGTCTATTTACTTCATGGAAAGTCCTTCAGAGTACTGTTAAGCATCCCATCCCATGTTTTCCTGCCTTGCCTTTTAACAAAATTTCTTTTTTCTTTTTTTTTTTTTTTTT